CGGCGACCCCCCCCCCCAGCGAACGCTGCCTACGAAGCGAGGTTCTTCATGTTGACTAAGTAGTCATTGATTTTCTACTGGCATCATCTGTACAGGCAGGAAGCTCAGTTGACGTTTTAACAAATTTGATTATTTCATTACAATCCTAATTTCAGGCTCCAGAGACCAAACCGTTTTGCGAGGGAAGCAAATACAGTTATGAAAGCGTCAGCGTGTATTACTGCCCTCACACCCGGTGTCTCGACCAAGGTGCCCATCACACCCTGTGACGACCTCGACTGAACACCTTACCTTGCCTGCTGCTTCTTTGACAAGGCGGGCCCCAAACGGTGTTTATTTCCATCTTCCTCCAGTGACATCACTCGCAGCACACGTTCAGCTGTACGATGCATTTCCTGCAGCATTATCCTCCCCCTGTTTCCACATGCTGCAACTTAATGCTAGGTGTACGTTCTAACTTACAAGTGAGCTTTCTTCTCTCCTTTGTTGCAGAGGGTGGGGCATTTTTTCTGTTTGGGGTTTTTTTTGTTTGTTTGGGGTGGGGTTTTTTTGTTGTTGTTTTAAAGATTTAACATAGCATTTTCCCCTCGTGTACCTCTCTTCTGGTCTCTTTTGATCAATAATAGGTACAGTAGTAAGGTAAGCAACCGTTACATTCATAAGCCCTTGATTTCAGTTCGTACACTGCCTTTAGCAAAGTTCTGATCCATCCTACCACACCTGTAAGATGAGTTGCAAAACCTATCCTAGAAACAAAGTTAAACTAATAGCCAGTAGATCTAATACATAAGATAGCTACTGCACTCTTCCCCCACTTCCTTTATTTTTCCTGTCATCAGTTGCCTTTAAAGTACCTAATTTTAAGATAGGAGACAAATGCAGCTCTTTAAAAATGTATCTCTTTTTTGGTGAAGGACAACTTTGCATTTCAGAAGAATTGTGAAGCCAATTCAGGGAAACAGGGGCCATAGAACATAGAGGCAGAATTAGAAATCACAAGTGATGCACACACCCCTCTCTTGATCTTCTGCCCTGCCTAGATATCCTTTCCCCCATTAGATGAATCAGAAGGCAGAACTCTCCGCATTGTATTCTTACATGCGCCACTCTAATTACACAAGACATCCATTACAAGTAAGAATTTTGTATTCTGTTCAGAACTGTCCAGGCGGTATCTGGATCAACTCTCCAAGGCCCGGTTTCTGAAACAGGATTGGAGACATGAACTGCATGGAAATGGGTACACCTCATGCAAATTAAAAAAAGTGTGAGTTCAGTAGCTACTGCATCTCCAACGTTGTGCTATGTCCATCACTTAACATGACTATACTTACTCCTTTTGTGCCCCTCTGAGTAGACAGTTACACTATCAGCTTCAGTAGAAGCCTAACCTCAGTGCTGAGTACCAACTTAGAACATACCTTGGAGGTCCTGCTTCAGTTTACAGTTGGTCCATCTGTGTCATGTCACCCCCTCCAGTTAAAAGAAAGCCAAGAGAGAGATCAGCAGCTTAACAGGACCACTGACCAGAATGCAAAATTTACACAAAGTTGGCAGGCAGAGTTACCTACAAGTTAATCATAACTATCACCTTTTCTCAAACACAGAAAGCAAGTTGGCCAGTATGCTTAAACTCATCGGTTGTTGCTTCAGCTGCACAAAAATAGCTGTACACTCATGGTACTGCATTTTTTTTTTCTTTCTTTAAGATGATGAGGTAACAAAGTAGACATGCAGAGTTCACACACACACACAAAAAAAAAAGGACTGCAGTTCTCAGGAAGCCCTTTATTAAGTCAAGGCATTAAAGGAGAAACTACTGTTATTCACCATGCTTCTCATCTTGAGGTGGTTCATACTGAGCCAGCTGTGGATTTAAAGAGAGGAATTTAGTTAGCTGCAACATTTCAGAGACACTTTCTACATTAAGAGATGTAGGAAAACGCTTGGTCTGGAAGTGTTCCATTTACTTTGTGCATTTTAATCCATCACTGATATTTATGCAAGTCCATTCTCAAGTCAGGCAACAAAGTAACCCTTCCTTCAAAACATCAATTTGTCACGTTGTATAATCATGCAACTATAACAAGGGGGCTTTTTAAATGCACTTTCAAGCATATAGGTCTTGCCCTTAATTTTTCCCTGTTTCTTGTTCTAGGTCTCATTAAGTACTTTTAATCTCAAATAGCAGCTGATAATGATCAGTGCCTTATATAAGCTTTGATTTCACTGAAATATGATTAAATGAAACAGTCATTCTCATAGCAACAGTACCCAAACTACCATTTCCTGTAATCATTCTAGCTTTCATTATGCTTTCTGGAAAGTATGGCCTAGGCAACTATGCACTAAAGGATGACCTTCACTTGTAAAGTTATTTCCAAAGAAACATATGAAGGTGTTTTACTTGACCTCAGTTACATTAAAGATAACCTCAAGCTTCAAAAACAGTTCAAGCATTAGGACTGAGTCTCTGAAATATGCCAGTCCGGTTTCTCAATTAAGATTCTCCCCCTCTCCTGCAAATTGCCAAGTAGGTTAAAAATCAACAAAGTGCATTAAAAAAAAAAAACATGTTTCTTGCAGCAACACTAAATTACAGCAATCACTATGCCACTAACAAGAACTGCTAAAATAGCATTTTGTCATTCTTGTAGATTTTACTACAAAAGATGGCCAGCACACAATCCAAAGTCAGTTTTCTTTTCCACAAAGGACCTAACTATTGACTTCCTGCCCCCCATCTCACCCAAATACCTGACATTCTGACCAATAAATGTAAGGAAAAGAACAGATCTTCACAGATGAATGCAACAGAAGAACACCACCTATTTGGACATGCTTCAAGTTACCGATAAACACACAGTTAAAGGCATGTATTTTATGCTAGAGGACTGCTAAAAAAAAAAAAAAAAAGGCTAAACGGCAGTGTTCTCCCTGCATTCTGTCCATGTGAACTTCTATGCTATGTCAGAATGACAGGCAGAAGGTGGCAGGGGAAAGAAAGGAAAAAACAATAAACATTAATACTGGAAAACACGTAAAGTAAGAGTTATCATTTGAAGGCTGAAGAAGGTGAAAGCACAGATAAACCCACTTTTATGGAAAGGCTTACTTTCCTGGAACAAGCTTTGACTTCTTTAAAAGATTCCTTTAAACAAAGACCCAGGTTACTCTGCTTTCACGTGTCTACTTACTATCGGTTGCATTTTTAAGTCGGCTACGCCGAGTGAACTGCTGGTCTATTGCTACTCCCCCTAAAATTCTGCTCTTTGCCATATTTCCTAGTAAGAAATAACAAATGTAGCTGTAAGGACTCACAGTGGGTAACAGAAAAGGAGAATTACTAGGATAGCAAGAGAGCACTCCAGACAGGAAATACAAAGGGGTAATGCCCAGGAATCCCTTCTCCCAGAACTAAGGCGGGGTTGTTGTCTCCCAGTAAAATACCCGTAGGGCTGTTCACATATAACAACAGCCATCCTCTTCCAACAAATGCATGGAAACCTGTAGTGGCACATAAGCTACTAGCTTATTAAGGTTCTCAAAGGTCTCCTTCTTCAGTGTTGTTAGGTTTACAATCAGTGCCCTCTCATAAGGAGAGGTTGTTCAGCTCCCAGAGCTGTTTCAGACAGCCTGTAGACCCATTAAAGAATGGCTCTGCCTTAGCTAGCACTTCAGATCTACTGTTGTTGCAGATAGAGGAGTACCAGGGTTGTTTTAGCTGAAAAGTGCAAATTACTGTTCCACATGGATACGAGTGCCTCCACTGGTAACATCCTGCCACGTGCAAGTCTGTGCCAGGTCACACAAACTAATATATAATATTCCTCCTTCAGTTTGCCTTTTAAGAGCCTTTATAACAGATACATTAGCTTTTTTCTTTTTCAAAATTCTTCTGGAAGCATGAGCTACATAATATCAGACAACTTAAACACACCCAGACAAGACTGAATGAAGACATGGGATTAGCCTCGATAACATACTTTCACTAAATAAATAAATAAAATCCCTAGTTTAGCAATACTATTCTATGTTATAGAATATAAGAAGTGTCCCATTAAAAAAAAAAAAAAGAATTCATCGTAGTAAAGATTTATATCAGCATTCCTCAGCCACGAGGCTAAACAATGCAACAACATTTATCAGGTACTCTAATGGAAGAAAGTTAGCTGTATTCTAAGTATTAAAGTATTCTTTTTGTGTAATATGGAACTACTGAGGAACACTAAGTAGACTTTTACCTTGGTTTTCAGTTTTTTATTTTCTTCCAACACAGCTTCATATTTTTCTTTCATCTCTGCCACTTCCAAGCGAAGTGCCTCTATTTCTGGATTCTCAGGAGCTGAAGCTCCCAGATGATGCTTCAGAAAGCTGATATTTAGATGTTAAGTATTTCTTCAGTTAGATAGCATAACCATAGTTTAGTTTTAACACTTACGATGAAGTTAGTGCTGCAATACATGTGACCAAAATTGCATTAAACCACTTAAGATGACTACAGTGCTTTTCAACCTACAGGATGAAGTTACAAAAATAAGAAAGCTTTTCAAGTTCATTGGTATATTCCTAAAAAAAAAAAACAACAACACAAAAAACCACACACAAGCAACCAAGACATCAGTACACACAGGACAAATTCTCATGTTTTACTACACCCTCCTCCTCTTTTCCTCTCTTAAACGCAGAAGTTTTGAAGAGTTAAAAGGAATAACCAAAAAAATAGAAGCAACAGCCAAAAAGGGAGGCTGGATAAAAACAGCAAGAAACAAAAGACGTTAATTTTTTTTCCACTCTTATATTATTAAAAAAAAAAAAAGGGAAGTGTGAAGAAGCCGACTTCAGAAGCCACAGATACTGTAAGTATTCAAATCTAATGCTGCAGGTCTACAACATTCTGTAACGGCCTATAACTTAACTTCATAATTGCTGGCATACTGATATGCACAGTTCTCTTGCATCCTGTCAGACTTTCTGTTAGCTTGTAAGAATGCAATTATTAGCTAAAATGCATCCATAAAAGCCATGTTCTCAACATAAGTCTTCTAAACGAGCCTCTCCAGTTCACCTACGAGTCAGAAGCAGTACTGCTGTTTTGTGTGAAGTCTCTAAGAACAATTCACAGAAGAGAAAAAGGATACTCCAGTGCACTATTTGGTTTCTCTGGCTCTTCATATAAGGCTACCAACACTGCAAATAGAAAATATTCAACACTTGCAAGAAGTTCATGCAACTCTAAGTTTTTAAAACACGTACCAACAGTCAGAAGGCATACAAGTTGCATGCCACATTTATAGCACATTTTTCTGTTTAACAAGATTTTCATCTATACACTTTGATGTAAAGAATAGGTCTGTTGTACCAGAGGGAACAGAGCATCCCACCCAGTAACAGCTAGACACAAGTTTTGTTGGTCCCCTAAGCACAGTCTTTGGCTGTTCTAGCACAGAACATAAAACAGCCTGGACAATTCTTACATATTCCACATGCAACCCTAGTATTGGCTTTCACCAGCAAAACTGAAATTCTAACTATTTTCAGACTCTCCCTTCATAAGTCATTACTTCCACTTAAGCTACATCTTTGAACCACAGGACATCATCAGTGCTTCCGTAACTTTCAGCATAAAAAACAAGCCTCCAGCAAACACCTACAGTTACAAAACTAAACGGCTACCGTCAGAGTAGGTGACACTGATAATCTTTATGGATGGGGGCTCCAGCAGCCAACAAAGTGCCAGAGAGGTCAGGCACAAGCAGCAATACCCTGACAGCTAAAATAAAACTAGCCATACATATACAAATTCCGTATCTGGAGAACTCAGTCACATGAACACTCAGGAAGCTCCCAACCATAACCACTCCCCCCTCCCCACAGGGGGACACACACAGCTATAGAAGATGTCTGCTTTCATAAGTACTTAGATGCCCTTCTCCCAGTTTCAGATGTCCAAACTGCACAGCCAAATTGGTTTTAAGCTAAGCACCTAAGTTAAAAACAAAATTAGGGTGCCACACTGCTTGGAAGACTTGTTTTGCCATCCCACAGGGTGCTTAGCATTGTGATAGAAAGAAATGAAATGGTACCCACATGCCAGGCCACTTGTTTTGCCATCCCATAGGGTGCTTAGTATTGCAATAGAAAGAAATCAAATAGTACCCCATGCCACATAGCACGGCACCTGCTCGCTTGACATCCTAGATCTGCTGCTCCCTCTTTAAACAGCGTATTTTTCAAGCAGGAATATTAACAGATTTTCTCCACATACTATTGGAAGGCTCTCAAAAAGACTTCAGAAGGATTTAAAAGATGCTAAGCCATACAGAAAGCCAAAGTATGCATCAAGTTTAGCATCATCATTTTCCCCATTCTGATATGGATAGTCACTCTCACAAAACTTACAGGTTCATTAGTTTTAGGAGAAGTGCCAAGCTCTACTCAAGAAAGGGTCTTCTTAAATAGAGTATTTTTAAGAGCACATTTGCTGTTATCTGCTCTGGCAGACTAACAGCCCCCAAGGAATTCAACTGTTTCCAAAAGCAAGCACAGAGAAGTGCTTTTCTCACTTTGGCCGAGTAAGAGAGGTCTCCCACACACCACGCAAGGGGACAGGAACCGCCTTCCTGTTCCTTATGTGCCTCTACCATCCCTGTTCCACACGCGTTCCCAACAACCGACCCACACGCAGCGAACGCGCGAACTGCCAGGAAGAAGTTAACGCACTGCGGTTCACAGGCCGCGTTTCCAAGAGCTCCTCTGCTCGCCCCCAGCGCGCCCTGCCTCGCGGCCCAGCTCGGACTCGACCTCGACCGCCGCA